TTTCTGTATCCAGTGCCATATCTAGTGGGTGATTTTCAGTCCATTCCTCCTCTCTGTGAGCAAAACCAAACAGCACGATTCATTAGCCTGTGGAACAAAGTCTAAATGTAACCACTAACAATACACCCTATATAAAACAGTGGAGGAAATGAACAGGGAAGGAGACAAGTAGTTAAAATATCTGAATATATACATTAACGAGCAAGAAAAAAAAAATTTGGCAGGTGCTATAGTTGCCACTCTGTTGCTGGACACAGGCTGCAGTTTGCATGAATACGTTGCTCCTGTGATAACCATTCCATGTTCCTTTTGCTTTCATTCAGCACCTCAGCTGTTTGAGATAACCGGACTTTTGAATCCTGGGTCCTTGTTGTTCCTGCTCACATGCTATGTTGTACTAACTTTTATGATTGGAGGTGATAGTGTTATCAGGTTCCCTCCAGTTCATCTCCAGAGGTTTGTTTACACCCTTCCATCTTTCTTTTATACTACCTTGGCCCCAAATGACCAGATGTAGTCTCAGCTTCTACTTGTGAAAATATGGTTGGATTCCTCACTTGAATATTGTCTCTGAATCACCTTGAGGAATGGCAGAAATTTTGCAAATGGATAATTAGGTATAATTGTGAAATATTTCACTTCTACCCCTTACTTCCCAAATCTAAGTTTCTTTCTGGCTGTAGGTGAAACCCTGGAGTGGTTGTTCTTTGAGACCATGAAGATCCTGTAGGATAGCACTTCAGCTTCCCAAGATACGGTCTCCCGGGTGACACCATAAGTGAGTCTTCAGTAGGCCATTAAACATTCTAGAAGTCCAGCAGCTTCTGGATAATGGAATATGTGGCAGAGCAGTGACCATTGTCCTTGGGACATCTGTTAATTTTTTTTCTCTGTAAAGTAATTACTTTACTAGAAGCACTGGTGTGTGGAATACCACAATTGTGACTAACACATGGTTTAGGACTCTGGTAGAAGCATGATGGGGGAAGGGTAGAGGAAGCATAACAGAATCCAGAACCATACTATTTCAGTGAATGTAACATTCTGCCTCCTCCAAGATATGAGCATCATAATTATCTTGCCATTGGCCAGATGGCTGATACCCTCAAGAATGACACTGTATCACCAGTTTTCGATGGCCGTTGCAAATTAATATATGGCAGTGCCAGTCATCGTGTCAATCTAAGTAAGGAGAAGTGCATGTTAGTGAGCCTATATGTGGCTTTTATTCCTATAACCATTGCATCTTATTGAACAAGTTCTATAGGAGGTAGAGTGAGGGGCAGGTTGACTGACATAGAGCAAAACATAGAAAGGGTATACCAGCAAGATAACATAGCACCCAATTCGTGGTGGACAGCTCGAGGCACTTGGTTCCTGGTATATCATATTGTTTACTCTTTATCCAGGGCTCAGTAACAAGGCCAGAACAAGTCCTCAAAGGATCACATTGTTTGCCAAGAGAGCATGGTTTTGCTCCAAGATTCTAGGGACTGTTGTGTTTTTCCTGTTGTTACTTGCCAGTAGTTTTCTGCAGCGTCCTGATATTATACAGGCTTCTTACCATTGGATCAGCTCGGTCATTAAAAGCAATTTGTAAAGCTTCTTATACCACCATTTGAATTAGCTGGATAGCCTTTTTCTTTGGGGCGTTGAAGCTAAAGCCAGTAACCTTTTGAGTCACTCAGTAAAGGGCGGGAGGAGCACAAAAGGTCTCACCAAGCACTGTTCTCCATTTGTGCTTGAGGCCGCAAAGAAAAGCACTTTACAGAATTATGTCAACCATCCACACAAATTAATTGACCAAAATTCTTCACTGAGAAAACAGTACCCTGTATTTCCATGGAATTTATTTTCTACCTGCTGATATACTTATCCTTCCTTCCCAGGCATCTAAGAATACAAGTTGCTTCCTGCTTTTCAGATCATGAAACCAGATGTAACCAGCGTATTGGAGTAGTGTAGTGTCCTGTAGAAAGGGGAAAACTAAATTGTAGTATAGAGATAGAGAGTATACATAATCCTGAGATTACGGTTGTGAACGCTCGCTGCTGTCCCATCTGACTGATAGCAGATCCCTTCTCATGTTCTCTATTTTTTAGGACTGAACAAATAATATTTGCCATTTCAGCAGGTGTGTACAAAGCCAGAGATTGCAGTGGTCTGCTGTAGTAAATGGATCACATTTTGAGGAGCATTGCAGTTGCAGTCACCATCTGAATGAGCTTCTGCTAGTTGTCATGTTGGAGTGTATCTGTTCAGAAACTGGGGAGTTACCACGTGGTGGATTTAGGCTCCCACTGACTCTATCAGAAGTCGTTCTACTTAATTCTTTTCAATGGATAAATAATTTTATATAGTGTTCATATAGTATAGTTGTTTATCTATTTCAAGATTGATATGCATTTCAGTCTTTTTTTGCTGTTCAATTTATTCATGAGTATTAAAGTTCCTGTTCTTGCTCCATTTTTCTACTGGATTGCCTGACATTTTCTTAGTTATTTCTAGTTCTTCATATATTATGGCTATTGCTCCCTCTTTCTTACATATTATATATCCTCTACCTTTTGATTACAATATATTTTTCACCTATTTTTCTTAATTTTTACCAACCTGAAATGTGAAAAGTGATCAGCGAAGTTGAAATTTTGTCATATTTATTTGCTTTTTGTAAATTGCAAGATTATAACCTTTGTCCATTTTTTATTGGACTGTTTTTCTGTTACCAATTTATAGGAGTTTTGTGGGGTTTTTTCTGTATTAGGGATATTAACCCTTTTTCTCATTGTATCCTGGTTATTTATTTTCTCCCATGTGTATACATACACACACACACACACACACACACACACACACACACACACACTTAAATGTATTTGTATATAAGTACATATTTTTTATGTAACACTTAACAAAATTTTGTTTTGTAGTCGAATTTGTCAATATTTTCCTCCATGGTTTTTAGTTTTGTATCATGCTTAGCTAATATTTTATCTCTTTCTCCAAGATCATATATAATATCATTTAGTAAATATATATTTATATTTTCATATAGCAGTTTAATGTTTTAAATTTCAAATTAATAATTTATTACAAATTTATTTTGCTATATGATGTGAGAGTAGAGTTCTATTTTTCCTCCAAAATGGTTAGTTTTCCTCCTGTCATTTATTGAATAGTCTATTTTTTCTCACTTAATGTGACTTAAAAAGCAAGAGCCCTTAGAGTTGAGATATACCTGCCTTTATTCTATAGAGGCCCACAGTACAGTTTGTATCATCAACATGCTTTTTTTTTTTAGTAAAAGCTTTAATCCCCTATATAAGGCAGTCTAAGAAAATATGTTCAGGTTGAGATGGAAATACATAACTCATCACAAGCAGTCATAAAAACAGCAAACAAAATTTCTCCATCCTACAAAAGGAAAATTGACACAAAAAAAGCAAAAAGAAATTCATTTGAAATTAGCCAAATGGTAACAGTTGCTATTAATATATGCTATGTGATTCCTCTCCTGTCTTTCTGTTTTTTAGCCTTGACTTGAAAGCAATGCTTATTACATCATCCTCAGTAACAAAAGTTATCCTGCTTTTTGGAATACTTTATCATTCCCTTGAGCCCATAAATAAATAATGAGCATTTAAAAAGCATTTAAGCTATATAAATAAACCACTCATTAAAAAAAAAGAATGGGTGGGTTGGAATGTTTTTCTCTAATTCTTGGAAATGAACTAGAGAGAGTTCTTTGAGACTAATTTTCAACTTATTTCTACTTTACTTTTTATTTATATACACACATAACATAAAAATATAGGCCCTTCCCTTTTTGTGAGGGGCCTTTTTTTCCTTCATTGCAATAGTTATAGATTCCTGGATTGTGAGCTTAGCATGACTTTTAACCCCTTGGTTTTTCATTTTAAAATTTTTAAATATTCTAAACATCAAATAAATAAAAGTATAGTATGATGAACCATTTACCTGGCTTCACCAATTGTTGACATTTTTTCAGCTTTTGTTTAATATATTTCTCTCTCCATATTCAAATTTCTCCAATTGTCCCTACAGGTTTTTTTTTTTTTATAGTGCTTGCTTTTTCCTGATTCAGAATCCAGTCAAATATCATATAGTGCCTTTTGGGTGCTTTAGTTATTTGATTTAGAAAACTCACCTGCCTTTGTCATATTTTTTTTTTCTTTTGTGACATTGACATTTTTACTAGTCCAGGCCAATTGTCTTGTAGATTATCCTGCGGTCTAGATGGGTCTGATTTCTTCCTCATGATAAGATTCAGGTTAAACATTTTGGCAAGAAAAGTACATAGGTCATATTGTGACTTTCTCGTTGCATCATGTCAAAAGGTTCATAATGTCAGTTTGTTCCATCATTGGTGCTAAATTTGATCATTTGTTTTTAGACAACAGATTTATCTATTATGAAGTTATCTCTTTTATAATTAATGACATCTCTGTGGTGGTAATTGGAATTGCGTGAATGTCCTGTGGTTTTAGCATCCTTCAATGATCTTTGCCTGAATCAGTTATTATATAGATAATTAAAAAATGACTTTTTAAATTCTATTATTCCTTTCCCATTTATTAAGTGTAATCCATTTATTTTATATTCTAATGAAATATGTAATTGTTACAGTTATTTTCAACACAATTTTCGTGCCTGTAGAGTTACGTGATAGTCTGTGGGCCATTGTATTTGTTTAATGTCTTGATGGAATAGGGAGGAAGATAATATTTTTGGATCACAAGTACAGTTTCACAAGTTTATGTTCCCACACAATTTCCTCTTGAAAATTAATCCATTTTTGTTACTAATTAGATTTGGATAAACCATTTATTCTTTTTTCTCAATTAATGTTTGCTATTTTTATCTATTTATTTTTCTATCTTTTTAACTGTCCAATTTCTTGTAGATATTAATTTATAAGTTATTATTTCTGTTGCCCTAACATTTGTAACAATTAATATGTTAATTTTCTATTATAATAGCTGTGGAAATACAAAGAGCTCTGAATCAGCTTGGAACACCTCAAGATTCACCTGAATTGAGGCAACAGCTGTAAGTATTTAATTAAACAAGCAAAAATGAAAAAAAATGAAACCTCTTGCTATTATTATGTTGTTTTCACAGGGTACTGTATAGTATTTATTTACTGGCGGAAACAATGGAAAATTAATAAAGTTTTTCTTCTACCTTATCCATACGTTTGCACCAAGCTTTTGTGTAGGTTTTTCCCTGTCCAGAGTAGGCAGGCGTTTTTCTTCGTTTTAAAGATCTGGCTTACTCTATCAAAGCAGAATTTCTTTAGTTGCCTTTCTCATACTTCTTATACTGGTTGTTTCTGACAGCTTTTGAAAAATTACCCTCTAGCATCTGAATGTGTATGATTTACTTTTCATAGCTAGCAATCCCTACAGTGACCAGATTTTTATTTGGTTTAGCTCCAATACATATCCAGTTATGTGAACTGTCTCCCCAAAAGTTGCACATATCCTTGAATTTTAGAAAGCAATAGCTTCTGTTAGGAAAAAAAAAAAAGTTATAATGAAGTTGTATAATACATATTCCAGGAAATTAATTTGATATTAGTAGAACAGCCATAATATTTTGTCTATGGTATGTTAAAGATTTTACAAAATGTTTTTATATATTTTCTCAGTACTGTACAAAATTGGAGTGGGATAGATGATCAAAAGAACTATTTCCATTTTGTGCATAAGGAAAACATGTCTCTTGTAGGTTTGATGATTTCCCTAATATCATGTAAAACCTGTTAAATCTTAATTATTTTGGTGCTGTTATGGCTATAAATTTAAAGTAATATATATCTAGGAAGTGGTATTTCCAAGGAATAGTAACTGTAGAAGGGAAATTGCAAAGAGGAAGATATTAAAAGACAGGTAATAGGAAATCGTATTTTTATGAAATACAATGTAAAGAATTCATAGTCATCTCTAATTTATGTTGTATTTTTTAAGGTTGAAAGGTGTCAGGGTGATAAAAGTGCTCCAAATCTAACTAATAAACCATTTATTAAAATAAAGTAAAATGGAATAGAAATACATGATTCTTAACAGTTATAATATTTTGATAGAGGTAATAGTGAGGATTCTGAATATGTAGACATGATCATTAAGATCTTCTTTTTAAAACTTTAACTATATTACTACTTCCAAAGATTTAACAAAAACATATTAAAGATAAGATACTTTGTAAATAGAGATATAGATAATTATTTTCCCTTACCAGTGAAATATAGATATCTATACTTAACCATATTCTTACGTAGTATCTCATTATTTTAAAGGATTCTAAGTGTGGCCTATCCATGTTTAAAATAAGAGGTAATATATGTGAGAGGTACTGATGTTATAATTTGTAAAACAGCACATTAATATGGCTTATTTTTTAGTGTAATGTTTTTTAATTAGAAATCTCATTTTTTACTTTATAAGCTAGCTAGCTAAAGTATGGATATACAGTTGGGCCTCCATATCCACTCTTTACGCATCCTCAGATTCAATCAGCTGTGGATCAAAAATATTCAAGAAAAAAGCCATAAAAAAAACAACAGTAAAAGATAATACAAATTAAGCAATACAGTATAATAAGTATTTCCATAGCCTTTACATTGTATTAGGCATTATGAGTAATCTAGAGATAATTTAAAGGGTATGGGAGGATGTACCTAAGTTATCTGCAAATACTGTGCCATTTTCTATCAGGGACTTGAACATCTGTGGATTTTGATATACACAGGGGTCCTGGAACCAAGCCCCCATCGATACCAAGGGATGACTGTAATTTACTTCTTTTATTGTGTTCTGTTCCCTTACAAGGAAATGCTATTATTTTTTCCACAACAAACTTAAATAATAGTAAATTTGTACTATTATTAGTTCTTTCCCTCCCCTTTTTAAAAAAGTATCTACAGCATATACAGGTCCACTTAGAAAAATAAAGGCCAGGTATACCTAAGGCCCGTGAGCTGAACAGAGTCTGAGGCAACAAATCTTTACTTGCTGAACTGACCTCCCACATCCCCAATATCTCAAACATAAAAGATGAGACATCCACCGATCCTCTCAGTTAAGTTTCCTTCTGACTTATTTGTGTCTCTAAATGGCTGCTGATGTTTATTTCTCTAAGCTCAGTTACCCTGTGTGAGTGAACAACCGGCCATGTAATATTCGCTCAATTTTATCAAAGAATAGGTTCTGAAAATGTTGTTTTACTAGAGAAAGTTTAGTGCCAGTCTATGAAAAAGCAATTTTTCTAACATCAGGGTTGATTCAAGTGGCAGAGTTGTAGCTTAAAGAAGGATATTAGTTCTTTGGCTGTAATGTGTGTTTTCTCACTTTAGGCAACAGAAGCAGCAGTATACTAACCAACTTGCCAAAGAAACAGATAAGTACATTAAAGAGTTTGGATCTCTGCCCACCACCCCCAGTGAACAGGTATCAAGCTTTAAGACACATTTTTGATGTATTGAATGTGAAACAAATGAAATGCATTGTAGAATCTTTGAACTGGTATGCTAGAAAGGAAATTAGGGGACAAAAAAATTCTATTTGAGATTAGTTCACAAAACACAAAACTATATTTAATTGCTCAGGTAGTATCCTGTGGTTCAATAAAGCAAAAATTATTTCCATGCAGTTGCCCTGACCCATAATTAAGTAAGCTCTCAGAAAATGCTTCCTGAGTAATTGTTTCCTGGCCTTCCGGGACTGACTGCATGCAGCGTGCACACTCATTCAAGATGTAAGGTGTCCTAGGGGCACACATTTATTTCCTTGGTTACTTAATGGAAGTTATTACTTAGGTAAAAGTATAAGGCTTTATTTGCCTAAAAAATAACTACTTTAAAATAACCTCAAAATCATCACCCAGTTTTTAGCATCATGAAAATTTGAGGTGAGAAATCCAGCATTATGGGCCTTTTGCCTCAAGGTAAATATGCACAGTGTTTGGACATACTGTCAAAATGTTATTGAGCGTTAATTGGTAAGGCCTTGTAATGGAGGAGTGAGTGAAAATTTCAGGATTTGAACTTCAAAGCTTGATTCTAGTAGGCTTTTTCTCTCCTCTAGCGTCAAAGGAAAATACAGAAAGATCGCTTGGTGGCTGAATTCACAACCTCACTGACAAATTTCCAAAAGGTCCAGAGGCAAGCTGCTGAGAGAGAGAAAGAGTTTGTTGCTCGAGTAAGAGCCGGTTCCCGAGTATCTGTAAGTATTTTAAAAGGCATTCTAAAAATGAACATGCTGTTTCTAAGAGTCCCATAAAAGTCTATATTAGCATGATGTTTTTAAGTCATAAAGATCTGTGGCTGTCTTAGAAATCAACATTTCACTATTAATTTTTATTATTTGTATTTATTATTTTTAAGAAGGATGATGGCTGTGTATTACCATGGTTATTTTGTCCCTGTTGTGGAACAAAAGATTATCTAAAAGTATAGAGACATACTTTGTCAAAAAAGATTAGCGATCAAATCCTGAGAAGCATCCTCATATTGCCTTGACACTGAGGCTTCCCATTTGGGTACATGCTAGTCTACACCACACTTTACTCCTGGATTACACGATGCTGACGGAGATGAACAGAGTGAATATATTGTATGAATGTGGAATATAAGCCTGAAGAAAATAAATGAAAGGAAGATTGATAGTAGAATTTTGAATTAATCTAATTTTAAATTTCCTTAAACACTATTACAAGTTGTTTCTTTATTCCTTGACATATGGATTCCACGACTAGCCAGGCATGGTGGCACATGCCTGTAATCACAACTACTTAGGAGGCTGAGATGGGAGGATCGCTTGAGCCTATGAGTTCTTTGGGCAACATAGTGAGATCCTATGTCGAAAAAATAAAATGAATTGGTCTGCCATGACTACATTAAATTTTAACATGATAATATTTATTATTTGGCCCTTGAGAATATTTAATGAATTCCTTCCTTGTTATATGATTATATTATTACTTGAAGCAGTTGACCTAAAAAATTAGAACAAGAACTTCCCTCTCTTTCTCTACACACACATGTACAAAAATCAGTTTAAATTATTATAAGGAAAAATGTGAGTGTTATTTATTTTTCTTATATTTGCTTTCTTTGTCCTTGTCAATCCATACAATATTATTCAGGGTGGTTTTCCTGAGGAAAGCTCAAAAGAAAGGAATCTTGTATCCTGGGAAAGGTAAGAAATGCAAAACATTTTATAGATCAAAAGATAATTTTTCAAATCTTATATATTATAGTCCCTGAAACAGAATTAAAGCTGTCAGTATATTATATCATAATTACCCGGACTTGAACATCTGTGGATTTTGATATACACAGGGGTCCTAGAACCAAGCCCCCATCGATACCAAGGGATGACTGTAATTTACTTCTTTTATTG